TCTCCTGAATCTGAAGGACGATATTTAGTTTCCGGGGATGCAAATGGGGGATTATTTTTCTATGATTGGTTTTCGTCCAAGATTGTAAAGAAAGTAGAAGGTGCTCATCAGGGAGCGTGTACGGATGCATGTTGGCATCCGTTTTTAGATGGAGTCGTGGCAAGCTGTGGTTGGGATGGAGAATTACATATTTGGGGGCAGTAGTTTTATAGATGCAATTTTCGCTGAACATGAACAAAAAAATTTAATATATTTATCTCGGCATTGACAAACCAAAATTTCACACATTGTTACACGCGATACCCGACCAATCATGTACAAGTTCTACTTTTTATAGAACGTAAATTTGAATTCGGTGTCTCTCAAATTTTATTCGAAATGTCATTTCTGGTAATGGAGTTTTTCGTATAATTAATTAGCTGTTATGTTTTTTTTTAACCGAGAACTTATGATCTTCGTAAATGTGAACAGTCAGAGTATCAAAGCTCGACTCCCTTCTCCCCACTGCTTTCTCAACGATTGTTTCCTTCACTAGCTATCGTCTTTTTGTTTTTGGGATTTGTGGCAGCCACCGCATTCTCGACGTATCTTTTTTCCTGATCAACTTTTAATTTTCTGAAGGATAGCTTCGTGTGTATAAATCCTTAACAACCTGCATTTCTTAAACTCATCATGTAGTATACCAGCAAAAACATCTTTGGTCAAAGAACTTTTCTTCGCAAGTCTCGCCTCCATATTTTTAGGTTTTGGGAGTTTGTTTTTATCTATTTCCGTTGGGGTCTATGTTTAACTTGAGTTGCATTATCACGCGAACAAGCTAGTAATAAAAAAAGTGAGAGAACAAAGAGATTCACGGATCGGAAGTAGAAACGATGTAAAAGCAATAAGTGACTTTTTTTTTTTCCCAAGAATCTCAAGAATGATGATAGAAACTTGACAAAAATAACTAATTATAATTTCCTGCTTAAATAAATCCTTACTGTATACTGTATTTCTTATGTGCCATAACCATTTATTTAAGGCAATTGTGTTTTTTATTATTAATATAATAAGAAAACGGGTCATTAGGAAGTCTTAAAAACATAGTTAAAAAACTATTAAAAAAATTTTTTTATAGAAAATACATATATGATTTTAATTGATTATTTTTTTTAGTCAAAAATTCGAAAAAACAAAAACAAAAATCATTTTTACTAGACCGTTGTTTAAGTTTATTATTTCAGATTTGTGTGTATCAATTTGGAGCCAAGGAGTTCATCGACTCGATTATTAAGTAGGGGAACGCGAACATTTTTATAATATACAGTATATACTATATATATTATATTTATTTATGAAATCTTATAAAGCTATTATTATTAAAAAAATAATAAATTTTTAAATAAACATTTACAAAAGAAATTTTTAATTCAAATATGCTTTATCAACTTAAATTCTGATCAAATAAAAATATTTTGTTAAGAATATAATAATTACAAGTATTATACAAAAAAAATGATTTCTTTTTGATTATGTCAATGAGAAACAAGAGAAGACTTTTTTTTCAATTTTTTTATTTACATTCTGATTTCAATTATTATTGAAAAAATAACATGTTATCTTCTTATATTCGTATAATCTTGAATTCCAAAAACTATTGCTTGAATGCATATATGATTTGAATTTTTGTATATTATCTAATTATTTCGTCAAATAAAACCATTTTAAAAAACAAATGGTATAAAATTTCCCTTATAGAAAATTCAGGTTTTATATAAACATAAAAGTTTATTGATCGAAATAGATTAATTTCTATATTTTCTAAATTTAAGATTTCTATTAAAAAAAAAAAATCATAATCTTTTTGGTTTAGAACAAACATATTAACGAACCAGTTAAAAAATTAACCAAATTTCTCTGCAATAAAACCAAATTATAAAGTTGAGTTTGAATTCATTGTCTAAGCCCACTATTATGCGTTTGACCACCTCCCAACACACTTTCCATCTCCCAAATGGCTTCACTGACTGCATCATTGAGTTGTACAATCTTATTCTTTATTTTTTGAGTTCTGGCAGTCAATGCGTTTTTACGCGTTTCGCGCAATCGCATTAAAGTTTTCGTGTCATTCAACAAGAGAGTCGTCTTTAAATCATGTGTCAGAGTAAGAAGAGTTTGACAAGCTCTTTCCTTTAAGATTTTATTGGAAGTGATTAATAAATATAAAATTTTATTATACACAAATACATAGGAATAATCAATGATTTACCAAGTTTGCAGCTCGCAACTCACCAACATATTCGTCCAATGCATTCCTGTATTTATCCTTTTCCACTTCCTGTATATTAAGATAAGCATAATTAACATAAATAACATCCTCAACACGCCTTTCGCTAAAACAGCGTACAATGTCGCCTGTGTCCAGTGCGATATCACAATAAATATCCACGAACCCTATTATCGGGAATTCTTAGGCTAATATCAAATCCTGCGGCTTTAACCATGTCTCGAAAGCTTACTACTAATTGTTCTAGTTCATTATCAAGTTTCTTATTCAAGTCATCTTCTATGTTTGAGAAAAATTCATTCTGCGAAGCCGTTGTAGTTGTAGTTGCACTGTGAGCTGAAGTTTTTTGCGCATTAGCAAATAAACGCGGACGTTGCATTTTTTCGAATTTTATTCGAAAGCCTAAAAGGTCTCAACTTTTTCAACACATGATAATTTATTATAGTCACGTGAATTAGCAACATGATATACGAAATACACGAAATACGCATATTCGGATCAAACTTTCCTTCTCCTTCAAACAGTCTTTTTCAATATGTCTGATGCTAGCGTGGCTTCTCCTGCTACCCCAAGAATTAATTCCACATTGATGTCAAAATACCTTGGTGAACAGGTTCGTTTTATTGGACGCGTTAAAGAGGTTTCTATCACTATTATTTTTTTCTTTGATTTATTTTTATTGCGTAATGCTAAAAACTACATACATCTCATAAGAGCTCAAGAAAGCATGCCGTGCTGGAAGCTAGTGACAAGGGACAAGTCACAATCGTTTACTCTCAGGTTTGAACTGTTTAAAGTTCGTTTAACATAAAGCAAATGACTGGCAGCGTTATTTAATAATAATATTTAAAGGATAATATACTCGAAGACAATAAGATTGTTGAAGTCATTGGACGCGTTAAGGATAATAGTACCATACAAGAGATTCTTATTACAGAAATTAGTGATGGATTTAGTAAGAACTAGTTCTTTCTCTTTGAATTTTTTAACGCGTAAAATTTTCGCGATTAACTTTATTTTTAAAGTAGATCTTGATCTATATGAAGACGTAATTCAGTTAACACAAAAATACCCTGAAATTTTTTTCTAAAATTTATCAAGTTATATTATATTCGATAATGTAATATTAATGAAATTACGCAAATATCCTAATGACAATCGTGCCCACTGCAAGACTTAACATAATTATTCCTTGTTCTTGCCATTACATATATACATATTTTTTTTTTTGGGGGGGGAGATGTACTGTATTAGTGATTCATGTCATGCCGACAGATAGTGTCATAGTTCGTATAATTATACACAACTTTAAGACAAGAATTACTATGCTGCCAACAAAAGTGTTTATTATATTCCTCGAGTATGGTGTTATTATTATCATCAACAAGACTAACGACGTCCAGACGTTGATGATTCTGCTATAGGGACAAAACTGTCCAATCTTTGTTGAATGTGCTGGAATATTTTCAGGTGTAGGTGAACAAGCATATCCTGAACTGGCATATTAACAAGTCCTATATAAAAGATGATGTGTAAATCTTTGATCATAAATAAACGGTGAATTTCACAAAACTAACCTGGCGTACGAATGCATTTTCCGCATTCTTTTTTTGGCTTTTTTTCCCAGTAAGAATGATTTTCCGGTAAAATTACAAAAGAATTCTAAAGCCAAAGATGTTTTTTAAGTATAATAAATACGTAAATGAAATTTTCGGATAAATTACATACCTCCGTATACCAATTTAATAGGTCTACCCTCTTGTTTATAGATGGAACAGGATTTGTTCCCGGTATCATGATGGAACAGGCCACTCTACGCATAACTAGAGTGTCTAAAAATGAAAAATGCGGTTAATCCGATGTTTGAGAGTAGAACATCTGGAAAAGAAAAAAAGTTACCTCGTTCACTAATTAGGTCAACTAAACTCTTGCACCCTCGACCTGCTCCAATCATAACTACTTTGGATGGATTTGCAGACCTGTCAAGAATTCAAGTATTAAAAATTTATTAATCATCCGCTATTTTCCAAATTAATTGATATTTAGATCATAACTTACTCTACATAATTATCCCATAGATATATCAACAAATCTTTTAAATCTTGGGTATCGTTTCTCTGTGAATTCTATATTTGCATACGGTGAATTTATTTGAACCGCGAAAGTTGGACCAATCAATTCATAAGAATTTAGAAGATCTTACGTTACTGGCCGGAGGAACATCCATATCAATAATTCCATAATCCTTGCTCACGATGGTTTCGAGATAATGATACACTGTATCAATCTATTCATATAATCGTGTGGTATAAAGTAATAGAGTTTAAAAAATCTTTTTCTGAACCAATTTATCTCTATTCCTACCAACCATGTATGACTCCGAGACATTAATTGTGTTCGTCGAAGCATTGGCATCAGCTCTGAATATTGAAACCAAAGTTAAGTTATTATTATTTAATTTTGAATTATCAAAAGATCATTACCTAAATTCCGACCTGGAACAATAACGATAAAATATTAATGAATGAATGGTAAATGAAAATTCAAATAATATAAGGCTTACATATCGTGTACGAAGAAGACTATAACGCTTTTAGAATGTAAGTTATTACTGGAGACATAAAATAGAATCGATAAATGTTTTGATTATATGTGATTACGTAAATAATCATAAAATAATGCTTTACCTGCAGTAAGATAAATCCGCGAACCGACTAATCAAACGATCAGCGGGTAATGGCACGGGTACCATTTTGTGCTCCTTATATAATAATCGTGTTCGATATGTCTTTAATATATCTGATTCAAAAGAGATAAGAGTAATCTTATTATTATATGGAAACCAAATAATCGCAGGTAAATCATAATAATTACCAATCATGCCAACCACAAATTTCCCCGGAGTTTTATCTGAAAATTATAAAGAGATGAATGAATAACATCGATTCAAATTTTTCAGGTTTAGCGTAATTTACAATACCTTCTGAGGCATCGACGTACTCTGGTGCGAGGCATGACCAATATCGAGACTGCACGCGGATTACTTGGTGAATGGTTTCTATACAATCTTGACTAGGCTTAATCGGTCCAAGTCTAGCAGGAGATTCGCCAAGCAAGACTTTGACACATGCAAGAGCTGACTTCGATATAGATTCTAAGTTGTAGCCACCCTTGAAATATAAAAATAATGGTAAGATCTTTTTTAGATGCTAGATTTGAACGAATTACGGAATTACCTCTAAGGCAAGCACCAGTTTCCCATCAGCCAAACCTTTTAGCATATGAGTCATGTGTCCATATGCAACTGGAGACACGTGATTTTCACCGATCGGATCACCTGCAAATAATATGATTCTCAAACACCATCCACAAATATGAACGGTGACTAAACGCGTTGACCATTCACGTACCCTCCGCCGCGTCAAATCCCGCGGATACAATTACAATATCGGGGTCAAATTCGAATGCAATTGGCATCACGACTTTGTTGAAAGCATATATGTAATCGCTATCGCACATTCCAGAACGGGGCCAAGGTATATTTATAGTTCTTGTGAGAAGGAATTTTTTTTCTGTTAGAATGTATGAATTGTCTAAACCTTACAATATTTGAAAAATCTCGTATTACTTTACTTACTTTCCTTTGGCATCTCCTCCACCGACATGAGTATCTATACAATCTTGACTAGGCTTAATCGGTCCAAGTCTAGCAGGAGATTCGCCAAGCAAGACTTTGACACATGCAAG